TTCACAAACTTCACTGATGACATCAACCACAAAAGCATCTCCTCACACCAAAATCAAAGTGGCATCATCACAACACAGCAAAGGTGGGTGATGTACATCCTCAGCACAGCTCCAACCCTCGTCCCCTCACCGCTTTACAACAGAATAAAAATCCCTGTTATTAATCCTGTCCTTGGCAATGGCCACAACATTTTCCAATCACTGTTTTTACTTCAGATTCCTCTAATGGTAAATGAAGCCCTTCAAAAGTGACTAGTGGCAAGTACCACTATTCACAGAATCACAGGATTGTTCAGGTTGGAAGGGACCTCTGGAGATCATCTAGTCCACTACATAAGCACTCTCCTTGATAGACTAATGCTTTGAATAACAATTTAAAGTTGACCTGAATTAAAAGCTTTGGTAAAAAAATAATCTCTTAAAGATTCTCAAACTGGGTAACCTCTAGGTATGCAAAATATAAATGGTTGCTTATGGTGATGGCTGCCAAGGGCTGGAAAACTGGAAAACAGGAAAACAGCCATGGCCTCACCACTTTCCTGGCATGGGTCAGTATCCCAGGAAACCAGGCTCCCCGCTACTGCCAGTGAGTGCTGGGGTGCCGTGGCAAGGCAGCAGTCCCCATCCTCTGGGGCTTCACTCAGCAGCCAGATCAACGTATGTTCAAAATGTGTCATTCTAAAGCAAGAGGTTTGTTGTTTCCTCCTTTGCTTGCGTTTCAGTAGCCAAATGTATTTTCCTCTCAAAGAGCTGGGAATCCAGGAACCTGAAGCCAAGGGAGGCAGCGATTAGTGGTGGGAAGTGTTAATGGTACCACAGTGGGAACAGGGAGTCCCTTGAACTCAGCTATTAGCAAATCAATAAAAGGGGTAGCACACTCTCCTGAGTGTAACAAATTTAGCACTAATTAGGACTTCTTTTTCTTAGCTATTTTAGGCAAGAAAATCTTCAATAGCCTCTGTTAAATTTGAATCATCTTGTTTGTAGAAGTAAATCATATGGAAACATTGGTTTCTTCACCCAGCTACAGTCTATTAAACTTTTTCCATTTTCCCTTCTGACATGACTTAGCTGGATGTTTTGTATGCAGTTAGTCTTATTTAGCAAACCTTCCTCCAAAAGAGGGCTGTCTTTTGAATGAGACTATCCTACAGGCTATTCATTTCTCACAGTCCATTCCAAACATTTCAAAGATTCCCTCTTCACAAGAGTGTCAATGCTCCAATTTATTTGCATTTATTTATTTACTGCCCGTATATTCCAGATGTTAAAATGGAGTTATTATAAATGGTAAGCCATATTTTTCTGCCAAATATCTACACAGTTTTGTGTCTTTTAACACTTTAGAATTAATCATGAGAGAAATTTAATCAGGTTTGCAATGAACATGAACCCTTAGTTACAACAGAGGCCAAAATGTCCCCCTGCTCTTCCTTTCTTCTTGCACTGCCCAAATCTCATCTAAACCTTGCGTGAAGTCCAGAAAACAAAACTCGCAGTCGATTGAATAGATGTAACTGTGAATTGATGTCTATGCTTTTGCAGATATGTTTCAAACTTTGCCTGGTGGCTGTGCTGGCTAATTTGTCTATAACCAGGAAATTAATTCTTTCTTAACTACAGAGCAAAGCTGTGATGCTGGGCGATACATGTCTGCCTTTCTGGAAAGAATATTACTTCTCTCTGGCAAAATCAATGCATCACTAAATGATTGACATAACCACAAAAGATTTTAGCTTTTAATGTTTAGGAAGACACTGATGGAGAAGAGAAAGCCCTGTTTGCATAATGAGAGTGGAGCCACACTAGCTGAGGCAGAAGCAACTTGCTTCAATTCAACAAAAGCCGTATCTTATTTGACCAGCAAAGGGAAAATGTAGATAGAAGGTTACATCTTCTGATGACACTAAGTAAAAGAGCACATTAGAAGTAATCAGCAGTGAGTTCATGGCATAAACCAGAAAAACAGACATATACACATGCACACATGTGTGGAGAACCCTAGTAGATGCCATATGAAAATATGCCATAAAAACTGACAAATACTGGACACTGCCAAGGTGGCTTTCCATAAAGTAATGCAAATTGATGTTAAAATCTAGACTTTCTAATCAATTAGAAAGGGTAGTTTGACAGCAGTATTAATAACCTCTGAAACAAATGTAGCATGAAGAGGGGGTTTCCATGACCATAGCTCAGGTCAGAAGACTTTGTCTCATGTCAAATCTTTACAAAGGTTAGACTAAAGGTATTAGCCATTTCCCTATCTAGAAGAACTGGATGAAGACTTTTCCTTGTTCTCCTATGGAGGGAAACACTTGATACAATCATTTCTGTTTACTTCTGTTAAATGGCTGGTCAGAGAGCTTATTCTGCACTGTATGAGGCTAAAGAATGTATTGGTTTTACTCTTCTCTACAGCATGAGATAGGATGTGTACGGTGCATGCTGAGATGACACTGTAACATCCTGTCTGCTTGAGGCCCTGAATGTGCACAAGTGAGTCCTTTCTTCCCTCCATGTGGGCTATAACTGTGGGAAAAAGATGTGTGAGCATGTAAGCTGAGCAGCAAGTAGCTAAATTCCAGATGATGATTTAAAGCTGGTGAATACAAGCCTTACAGTCCTGCAAGCAGTCTAGTACCGGAAAGGACCTTTGAGGTCAATTCATTTCCCTTCTGTCATAGGCAGCCCTCTGAAAGAAACTGCATGATAAAGTGATCCAGCTCCCATCACAGGATTAATTTTTGTCACCATTTCTCTTACTGTAATGATGCAGGAGAATGAATCCTACTGCAGTTCCTTGGAAATGTAGAAATCTTCCTATTCCCAGCCTTGATATACTCTTACGCAGTTTATTCACATCGTTTTCTCTGCCAAAATTGTGCTTCTGCTTAAATAGAGCTTTTCCCTTCTGTGTGCTTATACATGATGTATTTATAGGGAGACCTCTCTCAGCATTTATTGCATGAGATAAAACAAGCCATCCTTTTTTAGTCTCCTCTCATATAACAGACTTTCCATGACCTGGATCACCCTTGCAGCCCATCCCTTCACCTGCTCCAGTCTGAGCATGAGGACCAGAACTAGCAACAGCACCTATATATTGTCTTAACAGGGATTTTTACAATGCCATTAATACTCCCTTGTTTCTTACTGCTACATTGTACATTTTCACTGTCTGTACATAGAATTGTTCTTGCGTATAAATTATACAATTAACTATCAAATATTGGTGTATCACCTCATCTGGTGCTCCTTGGGAGTGTGGTCAGCATCTTGCAGGCAAAATCCCTTGGTGCTTTTCATCTGGTGTTTCTTCATCCTTGATAGCTCCTGTGGAGTATTTCAGCATGAAGATGTTTCAGCAGTCTTTACAAAAGCAAGTGTATCATTCAAAATAAGCACAATCCATCTATCTTCCTTAGTGTCACCAATTAATAGCTGCTCAGGATGCTTTGAAATCTATAGCTGCTTAAGGGAAGAAAAATAACCAACCCCTTCCTATAGTGCTGTGCCATCATTATATTTTGTGTACTCTGCCTGTGCTGGGAAGCCTTATTAAATAAATGAGGTGAAGGTGATATGCAACAGTCTCTGATGTGAGGCTTTAAAGTAAGGGAAAAGGCCAGTTATACTAATCCAGGATAAGAAGGGAACTAAAAACCAGTTGGTAGACAAGATTATTTCTTATTTTTGGAAGCCGTTTCTCATGCCTGAAGCCAGTGGTGAGAGCCTGACTTATTTCTGTGGCTGTGCTTCTGTCTTCTGCTGCCCCTGCAGCAAGTGGTGTTGGGGCAACCACAGTTTCCTCCACTTAATGGAGCTGGAACAGCCTTTTACCTCTTTCTTCCGATTTGGAGTATTCTGCAGAGCATGCAAAATAAGGGACTATTTTTAAAAGGGGGTAGTGTTGCCCTTGAGGGCAGCTTAGGCTGGGCCTGTGTCCTCATTCCTCAGGTCAAAAGCTGCTGGAGCAAAGTCACTGCCCCTTTTGGTGGAGCTCCTAACTTGGGCTCCCTGTCAGCCAGAGCACCCAAAGTCAAATCCTGACCCACATTTGCCAGATATAAAGATGTACTCCCAAACCTGCCCACACCTGCTGACCCCAGTGCAGGTTTTCTCTTCTCTCCATCCCTCCCTCCTGTCTCATCTCCCTGTCTAAGGCACTGTGGCTGCTGATGGCCCTTTCCATTGGACATACAGCTCTGTCTGTGCCCCGAGCATACCACCTCTTGAGGGGGATCAATTCACTTCCAGCTAATCTGCCAAAAGGGGAGGTCTGTGCCTAGAGTGTAATGGAACCTGATGGAAGCTAATTAAATAGAAAACCATCCATTTGTGCTGTCTCCTTAGGGATTTGTCATAAAAACCTTATGTTCTCTTACAAGCCTAAACAAGTGTGTTCACCATGCAAAAATCAACTATAAAGCTGGCTGGAGAGCAGTCAATGTGTCTAAGTTGTCATTTATACGGGCTGTCTGCAGTTTGGATCCTGCAGGTAGGAATGGCCTTTCCACTGTCCCCAAACCACCTTGCATAAATGGGGCATTCCTCCCTCAAAATGGGACAGAGGGCCAAGCCCTCTGCAAGCAATCCTGCCCTGACAGTTGTGTGGAACGGATGCTTCTCCGTCTGGCCACGACGGGAGCCAGAAATCAGAGGCAAAGAGCACTTGTTATTTTAGAGCTGTGCCAAAGATGAGCAGAGGTTTAGAAAGTATAAATCTAATAGTCGTGTTTCCTGGGAGCATGAGGATTGGCTCCCCTCACCTTTGCCAGTGGCCTGGTCTCCTCCTCAACCCCAACTAGGCTATATTTGAGGAAAACTGAATTTCCCATAGGACAAAGGAGTCATGCTCTGTTGCAATGGAAAAAAGTTATGGGCTGTGTCCCCTTGGTTGCCCCAAGGGAAACATCAACATAGCTCATCTGTCTAGGATGAGCTTTTCCCTCACCCAAACTGTGCAGGCTTCAGAGTTTCTGCCAAAACTGGGGCTCATGCGGAAGTCATATCAGGGCAGATCTTCCAAGGGGCTGGAGGAGATAACTGCTTTCTATGGGACAACCCTCTGGGTAACACCATCTGGTGTCTCCTTGCAGGCATCAGAAGTGGAGCGGCAGCTCTCCCTGCAGGTCCACACCCTCAGGGAGGACTTTCGGGAGAAGAATTCCTCCAGCAGTCAACATATCGTGCGGCTCGAAAGCCTCCAAGCTGAGGTGAGTCACCTGCACTCAGTGTCACCCCTTCGAAAGGTGTTTTAACTTGTGGAAAGAGCCCCTCTGAACTGAGTAACCAAAACCTGCTGCTCAGAGCAAAGAGAAGGATGGTAGCTGTGGGGGGAAGGACTCCACCAGTGAGAATTTTTGCTGCAACCCAGGGCTGGCTGGGGTGGCACAGGCCAGCTTCCAGTGCTGCTTTGGCCACAAGCATGCCTGCAAAATGAATGGATGAGAGGGATCTTCCAGGAGATAAACGATGGCAGTGCTCCTACAGAGCTGCTCCTCAGTACAGATTAAACTCTAGGGTATGGTGGGAAGGTCTGCAAGGTTTTTTTCGTTTTCTGTTTCTCATGCTTGTAAAGAAAGCAGCAGTCCTCTCCTGCCTCCAACCCATGAATGTGGGAAAGCAAGGAGCTCCTAGATGGGCAAGCTCTGGTACATTACCAGGAATAATATTTCCATTCTTCCTCCTCTCTTCCCTGACAGGGGTCACTGAGACCCATGTGGGCAGGAACTAGATTGTTAGAAGATGTCCAAATCTACCACCTCACCACTTCTTTTATTTATAAGCTGTCTGGAAGAGCTTTTCCTAAAATTTCTCAATTTCTTCTTTTCTCCCCCTCCCTCCTGCTCCCTGCTGGTCCCTTGCCTTTTCTTCCCCTCCCTTTGGTGTGGAGCAGCAGGTACTTGAAGTAAGTATGGAGGCTCAGAAAGGGCCTGCCCACATGTGCATCGCTGTTACCATGCATACCTGTCACTGTGCATGCCTCACCTTACCTCCTTTCCATCTCTTGCTTTCCAAGTCCCTTTCCCTCATGCCCTTCCTATGGCCCAGGCCTATGGCAGAGCAAAGTTGTTTCTGTTACATGGACATTCACAGGGTGTTCATTACTGGTTTGGGTACCAAATATGAACTCTCAGTACAATCTCTGTATTATACCTCTTATTTTTCTTGCACCCCTTTTCTCCAGCCCACACAAATGATGATGGTGGTGGGAAGAGACATGTCAGAAACCATTAGTCACTGAAGAGCAGCTTTCTAATACCTACAGCAGCCTTTACCCTGCAGAAATGGCAAGTCCACACACTTTGCTAATGTTCCCTCATGCAGCCAGATCTTTCCAGCAAACTGGAAAGCAGCAGAGACAGAAGATCCCAAAGAGGCCTTCCACTGGGAAGTTGCTGAATTTATCTATCGTCCATGAATTAAAGGAGGCCATAGGGAATATTTAGAGTTATACTGCACTAGTAAATGGTGTACCCAGTCCCCAGAGGTCCTGTGCATACTGGAAAAGGCTCCTTTTTCTTGGTTAAACAAGAAGTGACCTTGGCTAGTGCTGATTCATCCTGTGCTCTGTTCCCGGCTAACTGAATCACAGAGGTTTTGCTTGGCACACTGTCCCTCACCACCTGAAATCACTGCCCTTGACAATTAAAAGAAATGAACCCATTTTAAAGGCAACTGACCACTATGAGGCTAAAAATAAGCATGGCATAGAAAGGCGTCTTCACAAGCAAAAAGACAGAAAAGTCCCTGGGGAGGACTTGGTGAACATGCAGCAATTCAGTGAAGCATTTGGGTGGTGCTATGGCACAGCCCTGTGGGGAGCAGGGTCCCACAGGCTCATACTGTGGTGTCCAGCACCCATGCAGGAGAAGATGCCACCATGCTCAGTCAGGGACCAGACAGGAAAAGTAACTAGTTTTGCCCAGTCTTGCAAGTTTTAAGGTGCAAGGGGTGGGCAGGGCTGGTCTCTGCTGAATCTACTTGGTCATTTCTGCCTGTCATTTCACACACACAGATACAGTTTCTTTCATACAGGTACAGAACACATACGTGCATACTGCTTTTTGCCGTTTCATTTCTGTCTTGAGAAGTTGATTTCACACCTCTCTGCTCCCTGCAAAGTGCTGGGTCTGAGACCACCTCTTCCCTTCACAGATCAAGATGCTGACGGACAGAAAGCGGGAGCTGGAGCATCGCCTTAGTGCCATGATGGAGGAGAATGACCTGCTCCAGGGAACCGTGGAGGAGTTGCAGGACCGAGTCCTCATCCTGGAGAGACAAAGCCATGACAAGGACCTGCAGGTGAGGAGGCAGCCAAGGGACAGGGAAGAGGGAGAAAGTGGAGTAAAAGATATGGTTTGGGGTAAAACTGACCAGGAAGATAATCAGGAACTGGGAGCCAAAACAGCTGGAAGAATAAAATGGCTCATGTAAGCATGGCAGCGAGCAAGGTCCTGGGTGTTGCCCACAGGGACAGGTAACAGGAGCTACAATGGAGCATCTTGATAGCAGAGCAGCTTAGAAGGGAGATCTGAGCAAGCAGGTGGGTCAGCGTGCTGGGGAAATGAGGGCACTAAATGCCCTCGTAGCTCTCACTGCTCATATGGTTTCCCAACAAGCCCCATGATGTTCACAGCTGTGCCACTAAACATCACTCCCTGGAGAACAAGCTGGCACCTTTGTGGCTTCAGACATCTCAGTAGAGAGCAAGATTTTTCCATTTCTTTTCTGTGGGTTGACAACCACTGGATCCCCAGCTCTGCAAACAGCCCTGAATCGGTTTTTTTCCTTTCTTACATATATATTTGTATTTACATATGCATAGAGTTTTTTGAAAAACACATCTATATTACTTTCCCTTTTGGATTCACTTCCTGCTGTGTTATTTTCAGCAATTCTTTTTACCTGAGTCCCACCTTCTTCACAATGCTCCTCATTTTAGTGCTGATTAACCTGCTATTTTTATCTTTCAGGATATTCTGGAGCCTAAACAGTGTCTAATGACATTTGGAGATTATTAAGCTCCCATAAAGAGCAACACCAGCCAAGAGTGCATTCTTCCTGGCTGGAAATCCTCTTTTGTGGCACTCATTCCTCCCTCAGCTCTTTCACAAACCAAGAGATTCATCCAGTCTATATCACCTCCACTAATATTTTTTTTCTTTTTTCCTTACTTCCTTGACAAATTCCTTGATTTTCTTTGCAAGCTGCACCAAAGCCAGCTGGAGCTCCAGGAGGTGCGCCTGTCCTACCGGCAGCTGCAGGGCAAGGTAGAGGAGCTCAGTGAGGAGAGAAGTCTCCAAAATTTCAATACAACCAGCACATCCCTGCTATCTGAGATAGAGCAGAGCATGGAGGCAGAGGAGCTGGAACAAGAACGAGAACAGGTATTTGCCCTCCTACCCCTGGGAAAGCCCAAGTTCCTCTGTGACCAGCCCCAGAGGGAAAGGGAGTTTAATGCATTTGATCTAGATTTGGAGCTGAACCAAGAACCAGAAAACTGGGGTTATGGTCTCAGCTGTGGTATCAACACCCTTTTCACCATTTGAAAGTAAACCTCTGCATCCATTTGAAGATCAACATAGCAAGCTAGACAAGTATTTGTGAGGTTTGGCAATCCTCACTTCACGATGGAAGGAGGATCTCCATGGTCTTGATGTTCCAGGCTAATGTCAGGCTCTCTTGTTCCAGCTGAGGCTGCAGCTCTGGGAAGCATATTGCCAAGTGCGATATCTTTGCTCCCATCTCAGAGGAAACGACAGTGCAGACTCAGCAGTCTCTACAGACTCCTCCATGGATGAGTCTTCAGAAACATCATCAGCCAAAGATGTCCCAGCAGGCAGCCTACGGGCAGCTCTCAGCGAGCTGAAAAGACTGATACAAAATGTGCTGGATGGGGCAGACTCCACGGTAAGTTGGTGGCACAGAGAGACCTTGGCTTGTGCATGTCCTCTTGCCCAGGGGACAGCTTGCTGCACGTTTCCCCTATGAAGGCATACGGCAGCAAAACTGAAACTCTACCAAAGTCACATTCACGTTTTCCTCCTTGTTTTGTCCCCCTCATCCCAAACCAGTATTGAAATAATGCATTTGCCTTTTTTAAAGTGAAACCTGAGCAAGAGATTTCTCTCCCACTCTCAGAGCTCTCGACGAAGCGACGATGATACCTTAGAGGAACAGATCAGGAGAACAAGCGAGGATTCACGAGCCCTGAGGGAACTAATGGAGGGAGAACGGGGGAAACTGAGGCAGAGTTTGGAGGAACTGCAGCGACTGCACAGCCAGGTTAGCAATTCCCACACTTTACATGTAGTCCTGTGACACTAGTGTTCAGCCTCCAAGACATACCTTCCATAAAAGAGATCAACATGATACATAACCCAGGAGGATTTAGGACAAAGAGGGAGACTGTTAAACCCAGCGGAGAGGCTTTATGTGCTGCTCTGCTGTGTATACAGCAGGTTTGCTCCTTCCACAGCAGCATCACAAACCCTCATAAATACACACCAGAGAATCTCAATCATGGCCAGCGTGGCACCAGGCAGCACCCCAGGGCCAACAGGAACCAGCTAAGGCTAGCAACAGCAATGAATGATGCAGCCCCAAAACCAACACCACACTCAAAGCACAGAATCACACTGCGTCTGCACTGAATGCAGCATCATTTGTGTTTGAGGTCCTATGCCAAAAGCAGCAAATAGAGATAAGGCACCCAAGGAGATGCTCTGCAATCCCTGTCTCTCAGGGACAAGCCTCCAAACAGTGGAGGGGATCCGGAGGCCACAGCAGAAGCAGCCTTAAGCACAGCTGCTTCTGCAGCACTAACTGCATTGGAGCAGGGAATGGGATTAACACCCTTGCCTGGTCTTGCCAGCGGAGCTGTACTGCCCTTTTGCCATGCTCCTTTGGAGAAGAAAAAAGGAAATACATATCTGTTGAGAAAGTCAGCACAACCTGAGGTCTGACAGCCTTGTGAAGGGCTATGGGAGCTCCCGCCATGGGACCAAAGAAAAAAAGAGAGCATCGTTAACTACCCCTGCAGTGATGGCTGCATGTGTATGAGGATGGAAATAGTCCTGGTGACAAAGCAGCTGATTAGAGGCAGACTGCAGCGAGGGAGCAGCCCTGCCACCTGCCCTTCCATCCACCACAAGAGACACCTTTGACAGTCCAAACTTCTGCCTGCAGTGAGCCATGAGCCCAGGCATTCCTCTAGGGGTGCTGTCGTAGTACTGTGCATCATCCATAGGCCCCCTTGCCCTTAAACACATTTGAGATGCAGGAGCCATCACTAAAACATAGCTATGCTAACAGAGACTGTTAGGGGCTTATTCACAGATGTTGAGTGATCATCTGTACACCAGCCTGCTTGTCTGGATACAGCACCTCCTTACACGTGAGGCCTCTACAGGTCACCAGGAGGGAGCAGCACTTGGTTGTTCTTTGCTGAGTCTGATCTTCCCAAACTCCCCATCCGGGAAGGACCAAAGGACCTGCCCTGGACCACAAGTCTGGACCCCTGTTTCTGGTTTTAGGGGTCCCTGACTACCAAAGCTTTGAATATTTAGGGAGCAAAGGGAAGACCACAGTTCTACTTTCTTTTCACACCGCTGTGTTATATGGACAAAAATGAGGCATAACTACAAATGCAGCAGACATTGCTCTCAGAGACGCACTCTAGCTTCATACAAGTACATCTCCTGCAGCTTTTGCCCATATACCAGCTTCACTTTTGCTGAAGGTTAATAATTATTCTCACCTCACATAGAAGAGGCAGTGTTGTCTTCAGTTCAGTACTAAAGAACATCAGTGCACATGGAAATCTGGTCCACCTGAATCAGCAGTTCTTTGCTGCCTCCACAACCCTCTGCGCTGTCACTGGTATTGATACAACAAAAGGGGAACTCCTCCTAAATGGCTTTTGGAACCTTGTAGCACCACACACATTCATTGCTCCTGCCTGAGAGTAAGGTGAGCTGGTGGAGACAGGAGTCACCTCTGTCTGTGCCATCTCATTCTTACCCAAAACAGACAAAACCAGTTAAAACTGCAAACCTAGCACTGAACACAGTGGTTTGGGCCTCTTGACCCACTGTCCCCTGGGATTTCAGCAGAAATGCTCAGCACCTCTCACATAGCTTCCACCACTACTCTCCATCACATCATTGCTCTGAGGTGCACCCTGTGCTGGGCTGCAGGAGGGCACAGCTTGGGCAGTGCACCTTGAATCCCTGGCAGCCCCAGCTCACAGCGGGCAGCCCCTGCACACAGACAAGGTGCTTTAACACCCCCCTCCCCAGCCATGCAGTGCCAACAGCAGATCCTCCCACGCCACTGATGTGATGAGCCCTTTTTGACTGTCTGCCCTCTATTTAAAGATTTCTTTGAGGATTCAAGCACTACTGAGCTGCATTTAGAGAAAGGAGGTGGGTCAAATGCTGGAAGGGTTTTCAGGTGGTGGAGTGGCGTAACAGAGCATGTGTGTGCCCTAGACAAAGAAATTAAATGTGTATGAAATATTGCAAAGCTGTGCTAATGCAATCCTTGCATGATTTCACACCCTATTAACTCACTCTGCACAGGACCAAAACGATAGATCATTTCACAGACTATTTAAGACTCTGCACATATTTTAAAATCTAATTAAAACTGTAAGATGTGCCAGTAACACCTTCCATGGCGTGAAAGGGAATTTTCATATCCTTTGTCTTCAGCTTCATACTACTTCAAGAGACACAAGGGCCCCCTCCAAAAATTTCTTATTTGCTGCTAAATGATGTTTGCAATAATTTGACTCTGGAAAGATCAGAATACAACAGGCAGACTCAGAGGATGCATGGACAAGACAAACTGCTTGGCCAGGGGTAATATTTCAGCTCTGATGCCATAGTGACAGCCAAGTTGCAAGTGGGTCCTGCCCTGCATAGCTGCACAGCTTTCAGTGCTGTTGCTGCATGTTACTGAGGCCATCCTGGTGACCTATCTTGCTCAGACCAGCACTGCCAGCATCCCCTAGCGAGCTGGCACATTGCATGGGGACATTGCACCAGCACTAACAGCCCTCTCCCAGCAGACATAGCTTCTACAGGTAGGGGAGCTCAGCCTCCAGATTAGTCCATGTGGCCTTTTCCCCTTCCACTCATGGTGAATTTGAGCAACCCTGCATTTGATGCCCTCCCTCTACCCACAGGTCACGCTACTGAGTGTGGAAATGACAACACTGAAGGAGGAACGGGACCGGCTGCGAGGTGCTGCTGAAGACAAGGAAACAAGTGAACGGCTCCTGCAGGCCATCAGGGACCGGGATGAGGCCATTGCCAAGTAAGTTGTACAAACAGCCAGAGCCAGGCTGTGTTAGCAGTTACGGAGTGCCTTAGCAGATCCCTCCAGGTTGTCTTCTCTCACCCTCCATGAATTTCAGTAACTGTTCAAAGGAATGGAGTGAGTGTTGGCTTTGCTGGCATTGGGAAATGCTGCCAGGAGCTTGGGAGCAGGGCAGGAGATGCCAATTTCCAAAGCTGCCCCTTTAGGAGGCAGCTGTGAACCATGTTTTAGCCATCCCTAGTACTGGTCTGATTCACAGCAAGGAGAAGTCTCCAGAGAACCAAATGGAAACACTAGGTCTGCCCTATTTGTCATATTTTATTTCTTCTGCTCTTCCAGACATACCACCATGCTTTCCTGCTCATCCCCTTACAGCCCTGCTTGGGCTTCTTCCCTAAACCATTTCTCCAGTCACTCGCTCTCCTTCCCTGTTCCAGGGCCTGTTTTGCATCTCCAGTCCTGTAATTCCCTTTTTCCCGTTTCAGAATTTTCCCACTGTTTATTTTCCCCATCCTCCTTGTAAGACCTGTGCAGTTTTGCTACCCCATATCCCAGCTCTATGGTGGGGATTGCCACACTGCCCTAAGCACTCTTTGCCCTGAGGACAGGGGCAGAAACATTCATCCCTTATGCTCTACATAGGAAGGATACATCTGATAATCTCTTCAATAAGCAGGTGGGTCAGGACACCACCAGTCCCATCTCCTTATGGAAATGCCAAATAAGCCCTCATCAAGAATAGGAGCACAAAAAGCACTGCACCCCTGAGGATGTGGGGAGCTAAATCAGCATGCACAGTCCCTTCATCTTTTAAGTGACCCAATCATCCGTGCTGCTCTCAACTATGTAGCTGGCTATGAAATTCCCATTGCTATCCTCTGTAACACCTCCATCTGTTGGCAAAAATCAGGAGCATCCCAGCTGCACTGCCGGGTGCAGAGAGGTGGTTCTGACATTTCCAGTGCGTGTGGGTTGCTGGTTCTGCTGTGGCTATGGCAACGCGCTGCCGCCGCAATAAAACCCTCCGTAATATCCGAGCAGGGACAGGGAGCTTCACAACAAAAGGCTTTTTAAGGTGCTCAAACCCACAGCCAGAGTGGAAGGGTCCAGCTTCTCCATGGGGTTAATGACCCTGCTGGGACAAAGCACTAATATTTACGGCTGACTGTCCTGCAGTGGCAGGAGCCCAGAGAAATGAGGACGTGACAAGTGTGCATGGGTGAGTGGCGGGTGATTAATGAGCAGAAAGTGGCTGCAAGTGGAAGCAGACAAGAGCGTCTTGTTGCTCAAAATGAAAGCATCCCTCCACAGACTGAGCAGGCTCGTGATACGCTTCCCACCTCACACCTCAAGGGTTAAGTCACTTTCGTTGAAGCCCTCCTCCCCCAAAAAAAAGAAGCCCTAACTCTGAAAAGAAATAAAGTCACTGTCTGAGGCAGACATCTGGCATGGAAAATTTTTAGCTTGAAACTGAAATATGGCAACACAGGAAGCAATAGGAAAATAGGATCCCATAATAGGAGGTGTCAAGCAACCACTACCTGGAAAATAAACACAAATTTCCAAATTGCTCTTCTGCAGGGGGGCACAGGGGAGCTATTAGGAGGTGATGAATTAGCTGCAGTTAATAAGATGCAATTATTTCTCCTGAAAATGTTTGCAAGGAAAAATGATTCCCAGAATGTCATGAAACAGTTTCCCATCACACAGCAGTTAATTGAAAACTTAAGGCTTGTGTTCACCTCTATGCTCCCAGCATGGTCAGCAGCATTTCCCAGCTTTGGAAAATGCTCCTTCCTAGAGGACAATTCCTTCTCATTAGCTAGTAACAGCTGGAACACCTCAGCCACTGGGCACCCAGGACCTTTTGGGCAACCTGGGTCACGGCATCACATGCTCAGTGGCCACCAAATGCCTGGAAAGAAACACAGCAGCAGTGTTCCCAAGGGCCAGCACAATCCCATTAAAACTGGGAGCTTTCCTTAAGGCATAACATTTCATTCAAACAGTTTTAACAGTTTGTCATTCTTAAAAAGCCTATGTGTAATAAACTTGCTTCCTCCATTTCTTCCTTCCTTCCCAACTTCCCAGTCCCAACTGAAAGCAGAATTGTTCTCCTTGAGGGGTTTTGTTTGTTTCATATTGCAACTTATTGAGCAAGTGGTCAGACAACAGCTCATTTGGTTTTTAGCATATGCCATTTCTTTTTCTATGGACGAGTAAATAGAAGAAAAGGAAAAAAACTTTTATATGTAGATTCTACCACATTTTAGATCTCCATTTTTAATGGCAGATCCTGCATGTTATATTACCTGGCAGATCCAGAAACATTATATTACCTTATACAGCAGTGTATCTGAATATCTCTTGGTAGCCTTCATAGTGTGCTTACCAGAAACCTGCTGGTTTTGTAGTAACAACGTCCACGGTTCTGTCCCACTCTTCAGATTAATAGGTTGTCCAGAATACAATGGAGATCAACAGCTTGGCATCTGGGGACTTGCCCCTGAAATAAACTGTTGACTGCTCCTCAAGGATATATTTAACACTTCCTTTTAAATAAAAAGAGAAAGTCACATGCCCCAATTTCTCACTCTCTCCCCAGGAAGAATGCGGTGGAGGTGGAGCTGGCCAAGTGCAAGATCGACATGATGTCCCTCAACAGCCAGCTGCTGGATGCCATCCAACAGAAGGTGAACCTCTCACAGCAGCTGGAGGCCTGGCAGGTAAGTGGGGCAGGGTATGGATGGCACATGGCCTATGGGGCACCTTTGGATGACTTTCCCCCCTCCCTGTGGGTTTGCTGCATTCTCAGCCTGGGAATCCATTCATAGCAACTTTTGGTTTGGGCTCCGCAGGAGCCAGTGATGCAGTGATGCTCAGGGTGTGGAACACAGCCCTGCCTTGCTCAAAGCCTTTCAGCTGTAAGCAGTTAGTTAATTATACAGAGGCACCCATTTAAAATGGAGAAACAAACCATATCTCATGGCTGCATGCAGCATGGGTAACACATACCTTGTAGAGTAATGTGCTATCGGCCAGGGAGGGAAGGTGTCCATGCAGGAGACGTCTCTGGGCAGGCGCAACACTGGGGATGTGTGGGCACAGCACATCCTTGCATTTCCATAACAGAGCAGAAAGGTGGGAGGCAGAGAGGTGTGGTGATTGTTTTGTGGTACAGCTGCACTGTTTACATCAGCTCAGAAGATCCTGCAAGATGGAGAAGCAAAAATCCCAGCTCTCCACCAAGGTAAAAAACCCAAACCCACAGCAGTACAGCAGCTGCCCTGGAGATGCTCTGCTTGGGGTCTGTGGGGAAAACCTGTGTAAAGGCATAGAGTGCCCTTGAGATCAGACAAAGCTGGCTCCTCCTGGAAACTAGCACTGAGGAGGGGCTACTGTAATAGAAAACAAGCAGATACAAGAGAGAAGATCTGGGCCAGTGATAATAATTTGTTGCAGACCATGCAAGACCCCAATTCTACTGACAGCCTGACCAGTAGAAACCTCTCCTGTACAACCTTGCCTCTGTTTCAACTCCACTGTGTTTTCGTTTCTCCTTTTTTTTTTTTTTTCTTTCTTTTCATTTCTTTCTCCTGCTTACAGTTTGCTTCCTCAGGGCTTTTTACTATCTGGCTCCTTTGGTTTCTGATCTAGTGGCCTTTCTCAGTTCCTGTACCAACAGCTTTAGTCGTACACCCCTCCTGCCTTTGAGGTGAGCTCCCCGCATCCTCACCAAGAACCTGCCATCTCCTCGCCTGCTCCACTCGCTGCCACCATCACCCACATCCATCTCTGTCCTCACCATCATCTGGCAAGAGGGACCAGTGGGGCATCTCCATCAGCCACTGATATTCTGCACACACACCCCAGCACCACCCAGGGCACAAGGGGCAGCGTCCTATACCCAGTGGTGAGGCTTTACCCCCCAGGTCACCATGGGGAAAGCCAGGCTGAGGCACACGTATCATTAATCCTCTGTATTCAGCATATCTAGTATCTGGAAAACTTCTTGAAATGCAGGCTGGGATTTTACTTCTCAGCTTTGTTATCTAGTAGGTGACATTCAGTGCTCTGTATAGGAGCTGTCTGTTTCCAAGTTCTGTTTCAGTTTTCATGGGTGGTATAAACTGAGACCAACTTACTCATACAAGCAGTATTTAGTGCTGGAATATTCCCAGTTTTGGGTTTCAACAGCAGGCCTTTGCTTTCTCCCTTCACACTATGTCATCTGATTGTAGCAATACAGCAACCTCACCCCTGCTCCCATCAGCTCCCTGAGATGAGGATCAGGCCCACTAGCACTGCAGAAAGTTGTCTCCCAATATAGTGACCTAAAGTGTTATTAGGCAGTAGCAAAATAGTCTCCAAGCACCTAATGTCCCCAGGCATTAGAAGCTCAACCAGAGAGGCACAAAACAAGTCAGGTAATTTATGTACTTTGGGGACTATTTTGCAGAGCTGAATGCTTCTGATAAAATGGGATGAGATTCTCTGCTTTAGCTGGGCATAAAGGGAGGCTTTAATCTGATAAAAATTCCTCTTGTATGCTTCCAGTCTGCACTTTACCAAGGACCATCAACAAGATTACAGTTTTCTGTAAGCACATAATCATACAGGCTATAAAATACACTACAAGCAAAATCCTGCACATCTGAGCCTTGCACAGGAGTGGTAGCACCTCACCCCATGCCTAATCTGACCCCCACTGGTATTCATCATTATCTGGGGCAGGAGGGGCATTACTAGAAATAGGGAAGGACCGTGGAACAAATTTGGAAGTGAAGAGGGCTGTTTCTCTCAAGAGAGAGCTTAGTGGTTTCAATGTGATAGCAACAGTGGTGGTGTTAGGTTGAAAATGCTGCAATGCCAGCAGAGAGCTGCAGCCTGCATGGGCACAGCCACCAGCCTCTGAGGCTGCCTTGGGCAGCTCCAACCTGTATCTCATGCAAGGGAGCTCAGCTCACAAAGAGCATCCACGCCACTTGCACCTCCTTCATCCTCACCTCTTCTTGCAAAGAGCACAGACTCCTGCCCAGAACACCCAGAGCATACCGGTACCAGGTAGCCAGCTTTATGGGCCTGCTTTATCAGACAGGTCCCAAAGCATTGGTGTCTGTCCTCCCTCTGTGTCCCCAGACACTCCTGTACCCCTGCCCAGTGCCAAGGCAGGGCCCACAGCTCTGCCCTAGCCTTGCTAGGTACATCTACCCCAAATCTCCACAGCCAAGTGTTGTGTGCTCCTATTCACACATCAGACAGACAGGAACCCAAACACAGTGCACTCTCACTAGTGGATAGTGTATTTATACACATATATATATATGTGTGTGTGCAATAATGTATCTCTCTCTCTCTAAATCATACTTATCCCTTGTTATGTTGTTAACCAAGGACACAGATCTGCCATGCTGGAGCCTGGGTACCTACCTTAGATGCTAAAAGAGGTGCCTTCAAAATCTAAGTGCTATACATTTTCATAGGGCAGCTTTACCTCTGGAAACCTGTTTCACTTTAACACTGATGTTTACCTTAACCTCTTCAGCTCTCCCTCTGCCCTTCCTCTGCTCTAAAAGGATACAAAGCTTCCCCAGTCCATGTAGCTCTGCACCCTCCTGCTCCCCCAGAAAAAGCCCCTACACTATATTCAGGTCCAGGCCATGGCTATGAATCCTTTTCCCTGCAGAAAATGCTGCAACAAGAGAATAGCCATCATTTCAGTTTCCAGTCCAAGTTGGCTGTTTGTATTCCACATCAAGCTACAGGGCAGCTGGGGCACCCACTGGATGATGGCAGCACCTTCCCTTCCATCTCAGTGCTGCCCTGATGGGCTGCCCTGCATGAGGTGCCAAATGAACAGCACTTCTATCACTACAGCCCATCCAGAGCATCCTTGTTCTCACCAGACAGTGCCCTCAGTCCTAATCAGGAATCAAACTGCTGGAGAACAGTTGATTTCTCCTGTGGGGCTAGTTTGTGTACACAGGTTTTCACTAAGCTACAGTTTAAATATGCAATTGCAGCAGAAACAATGGATCTGAAGGTTTAAAATTTGTAGAATTGATAGCCACATTTTCAAGGAACACATTAAGCACATCATTAACAGCAACAGAACCAACGAATTATTTTGTGTGGAGCACAAACATGGATGAAACCATAGTGCTTCTGGTACATCCGAAAAACCAGTGCAGTTATCCATGCCAAGCTGTCAGTCAGAGAGCTCCCACCACTCTGCTGGCTCCAGGGGAAGGGACCAGCACAGGTCTCTTTTGTAAGCTTAGTGCAAAACCTGTGTGGGCTCTGGTGGGCCCATGCCTGGCCTGGGCTCCTCAGCTCTCAGGAGCACCTTTCCCCTGCTAACAGGGGCTGTGCAGGCAGCTCTGTCAGACCTACCAGCCTGCCTGCTCCGCATGGCAAGCACATAGACCTGCTCAGGACAGACATCCTTACTATCCTTTACTTTCAGCTGCATTTGTTGTATTTATTTATTTCTTCCCTCAAAGAGGACATCTGCAAGCTGCAGACAGCAGAAAAACATAGTTCAGGGGTGTCACAGAGTGCCAAGCAGGCACGATGCTCCTCTGCAGGACCACCCAAGTGATTTATCCCTCAGAATTGTGTGATTTACCTTCCTTGCTCACTAAAAAGCCCCACAGCAGCAAGCAAGGCTGAGTGTGCAACCAGGTGGGGAGCTAGACCTGTCCCCACTCTTGTCATCCCTCCTCCATCTCATCGCAGCACGTTTCACACCAATTTCAGCCATGTCTCTGTGCGAGCTCCCTTTGAACATCAGCTGCCACTAACGACCCTCTCCTCTCCCTCTGCTGCAGGATGACATGCACAGGGTCATTGACCAGCAGCTGATGGACAAACACCCGAAGGAATGGAGCCAGCTTGCTTATTCCTTCTCCAGTGGCTCTGGCACAAAGCGGAGTGCCAGGCCCTCCCCCGTGTTCAGGCCGGAGCAGCAGGGGGACGAGCCCACTGCGGCAGAAGGGAACCGTCTCTTTTCCTTTTTCAAGAAAAATTAAGTTGAAAAAGAGAAACCTCTCCAACGATTCCTGCTTCCAGATGAGGAGTGGGGCAGCTGCCCAGCTTGCTGCTGGACACAACTCTGATCCACCAAGTGAAAAAGAAGGGGGCAAAGGAGTTAACCCTTGAGACTCTGCACTATTTACACCGCACCTGGTCTGAACCAAATGTTTACATGAATTGGAGATTTGCAAATTGACAATGTGATACTAATAGAGAGAAACTTTTCTTTAAGTGAAGTGATAAACTTCAGGGTATATTGTAGGCGCTTTGACACAGTCCAGATTCTGCTGTGAAGAATAATCTGATTGTCTTAAAAGCATTCTCATGCTGGAGAAGGAAATAAGCAGCCCCAAGACAAAGCAGCAGAGGTAATCAAGAACTGCTGTGGTAGCAAGCACAGGGGGAAGAAGAGGGCTGAATGCAAGAGGAGAGGGGAGTCACTTAAACCACCCTCCAGTCCTGGCAGCTGTGAAATCCTTCATCCATTCCCCCAAGACTGGAGTTGCTCTGACCCCAGCATTCCCATGTTTTGACAAGTGTAGCTTTCTCCATGGTGGAAGTTGAGCCCTCTCTGTATATCCTGTCATCTCCCCTACAGCTCTGCATAGCTGTCCCCCACGTTGCTGGGAATCCGGGCTCCTCACAGACCAGGGCAGTTCTAAGATTGCTGATGTTCCTGTCTTCTCTAGCTCCCTCCTGTTACAGAGATGAGAGTTGCAGAGTCTGTAGCTACACGGAATGTTAAGGATTTCTTCCCAGACTGATTATTTACAACAGATTACAGACTGGATAAAAGTTGTGGATGTTCAGTCCTGGGGCACCAACTGTCCCTCCAATGGCCAAAGGTAGCTGTGGAGCTTCAAGTCACACACCTTTCCCCAAAAGCCATGTACACCTCCCAGAATAAGAAACCTGCTATTTTAACTGGATAGGCCCCCAAAAAGCCTAATTCACTGAAAGCCTACCCATAATGCTATCAGTAGGTCTTTGATGCTGGGCCGGCAGTCTTGATCCTCAGAATGCATGCAGGCATCTCCATTCACTCCCTCATTGCCACGGGCCATGAGGGCACCTACAAAGCTCTGGAAAGCCTACAGCTTCCTCTGCTCCATGCAGTAACATTAGCTATGGCCTGACAAAAATGATGTCTGTCCCTGCCTGTGGGTCATTTACTACTCAGTCCTTCAGTGATGCTGAAGATGATCAGAGCCTGCCTTGCTGTCAGCATGACTTGTTCAACGAGAAGGAACGTAGCTTATTTGGTGTATGCATACAATGGTGCTGGAAATCCTGCAATACTTTAATAGGGACCTTCCCTATGCACTGGATGGGCACCTTACAGCTCTGCTCTGTAACACAGTCTACCATCATAAACCAGCAAGGACCGCCAGCCTAAGTTCAGAGACAACTTGCTGCAGTCATCCAGTTCTCACGCACCCTCCCAGCTCACAATACCCACAGGCCTCAGTTTGTTTCCCTGTTGCTTTAAAGAGGCTGCCACCTACACTGTCCCATAGGAGATGGGGCTCAGTACACATTCAGCTCTGCCCTGCTCAGCAACTTAGGTGCTAAAACACCATCCTACAGGGAGCTGCTATCTCTGCTCACAGAAAAAAGCTTTCTGCTAGAATTAGGTATCAAACACCTTCTTCTAAGAAGCAGGTAAGAGGTTGGTGGCTTGGGGTTTTTTTTATTATTATTCAACTTTTCTATGGGATAGAACATCCATTATACCTCAGTACAAATATCCTTTCTGCCTACAAAGATTTGAGCATTCCTGTATTTCCTTGTTAGCATGAAACTACCACATTGGTATGAAATCATCTTGCACTAAGGTAGCTCCATGTTGCAAGGAGCCAAGTGCTCTTTGGGACTGGAAACGATGGTAAAAAGCCGAGTGGTAAAACCCCTTTACTTGAAAGCAATGAAACTTGGGATTGCAGATCTTGCTCCAGGAAAGACTTAATAAAGCACCACCAATACAGCCTGATGCTTTCAGGAAAAGGAATCTGGAGTCTCATGAGCAGGGAAGGAAAATGAATCTTGGCTTCTCCTTGAGCAATGCTAAACTGTTGAGTATCTGCTTGTATCTCCTTGTGCAAATGAGGGAAAGGGACTAGTGCAGTGCCAAGTGTGCTTTCAGGGTGGCAAGCCCTCATCCTCCTGTCTTACCTATGTTGTGAGGCTCGGTAAGGCGGAGACACAAGGCACAATGCTCAGCATCTGCTGCTGTCAGGACTCTCTATGCCCATGTGCATTAACATAAGCTTTGACACCTGCAAAGTCGGGAGCGGGTTCCTGGATGCCAGCGATGCCTGTGAACAGTTGTCTTATACACTGCTTGATGCTCTGTTTATTGTGGGAGACCATCTTCTTTCTGCTGTCAGTTGTCATTTCCCAGGCCCCAGCAGCTCTCTTCAGGCCACACACCCAGCAGCCATGTGGGACTCTACCCCCATGAGGATGTACTATGTATGTATGCAATCCTAAGGCAAAGGCCTTATGTGATCCCATGAAGATGCAGTAATGAGATGAAGAAAGGTGCCTTCTGCTACATGTTTGCTGAAAGCGACTCGTTCAGTTGCAGGGGTAGGCAATTGAAATGCACAGCATATCTCTTCCTTTAAGGAGGAACCTACCTTAATCCCATTGCAGTTTTATTTATCTAGTAACAGTGATGGAAGAGATTGCAAGAGGAAAGGCAGCATGTTCTAAGGTGCCAGTTGGGTATGGTTTCTTAAAACTAGCCCCTGAAGACTTAGTTGCACTACTAAACCCAGAAATAGAAGAGAATTGGGTTTAATGAACTGGACAACACACCAAAGGAGACCTCCTTGTGCTGAGCTGCTACTCAACAGAAAAAGAAACTGCCTTAACATAGCAGCTAGGTTTTGCTGTTGTGTCTTCTAAAAATTCATCAGTGCAGTCCTTCATGTTCTCATTTGTCATGTTGTGTTTTAACAAGGTCCTGTCTATTTCACTTTGAGCTGTCACTGAAACACTCATCTACATCCTGTCACAGCCAGGAGCATGGAATCATCCTTGCAAGTGTTGGGTTAGAAGATGTGCCACTTGTGATACTTGATACTTTCAGGACACATGTGGCATAAAGGAAACATCAGCCCCACTGAATGAGATGGAGGAAGCACATCAATCCAGCAGGTACTCAGGATCCCAAAGTAGATTAAGGAGTGGGATCAGCAGCTCTGAATACAACACTCAGCCTTGCTTTTGAGATAATTGTTAATAAACAGTAGTGCTGCACAGTCACTGTTCAAATACTGCACAGAGAAGAGATGCTGCTGAGATTAACATTACAAACAGCTTTCCCACTGTGAAGTAACAGGTTGACTGTTTGGGCAAATGTTTATGACAATGGCCCATGGGAAAAGGGATCCATGTTCCTTTAGTAAACTCTGCAAGGGAAGCCAGTGTACACAAGAAACAAGTGTAAATGAAAGGCAAGTCACTAGCACTTTATCTTAATACAAACTTAGATCAGCAACTTGCCCTTGAGATGAAACCAGATCGATTAATGACAACAGAATAATTTTGCACAGAGAAGCAAGAAGGGAGGTTACAGGCAGTGCTGCATGCACAAGGACTTGATAGCTGTAAGCACTTGTCCTACTTAGAATGGTGAATTCCAGCTATGCCTCTACACCAGGCAAACTCTCTGCTCCCCACTCGACTATAAAAAAAGCAAGATTGTTTTAACCAAAAAGCCAAGAAAGGAAGTGTCTGGGTGCTGCAGCAACGATTCCCTTCGACTGAGAGGGAAGAAGCACACAGCAGGGACAAGCAGAAAGAATGTATCTATAGATATGTACATAAACCACAGTGCTGTAATTTTTGTATGTAGCAGTAATGTAAATACATGTATGGTTTTTATAAGATACATATTATAAAAATCTATAAAGGCATATTTTTAGTAAAAACAATGCTCTACTTCTTTTGTAAATAGTTCTCTTCAGAATAAAACTGATCATTTATACAATACCGTCTTGGCTCTCAAGTCACTGCTTATCCTCCCTAGCTGCAGAACAAGCTTGCTTTCTGAACTGTCAACACCCTACAGCATCTTCAGTTCAGCAGTAGCCCAGGAAATTCAGTCACGAGAAGCACTTGCTTGTGTTTAGAAGAGAACAGTCCTGGAGAAAAAACATTTCAAACATTTACATCTCCTGCCACACAGGGAGATAGGTAAGCTTGTAAATCTTCTCCACATCCCAGCCATTTGTACCATTTACTGGCCTTTATACAAAGGGATATTCAGACTTCTAATGGGTTTAGCCATGAAACACAGATGGACAATGAAACACCCCCAGCTTGCACCAGCTGCAGTTCAGACCATCTACACCTCCTCCTCAGGATCCCCTCTACACAGTCACACCACACCAGCACAGACAGAAGAAAAGGCACCTTCCACAGCACATCTCCATCACGCTTCTCCAGGAGGGAGGACTTGCCTTCAAGAGCCTGCTTGCACATCAAGGGTGGGGAGGGGTAAGCAAATACTAAAAGGGCAATGAGCACAGGAATGGCTGCATGGTTCCTACATAGAAAAATGTTAATTCCCTGGGAAACAAGGACAGACTCCATCAAATCAACTCGGGGTCAGCCCCTTGCTGCCTTTGAAAGCAGAAGCTTTCAAAACTCACTCAACACATCTTGTTGAACAGGAAGACAAAAGATTACAGCAAAATCATGAGCATCTCACACCAAAATAAGCCTACCAGTTGCAGCTTAATGTTTCATTCACATCTCAAACTAGAACAGCAACTAAACATCTGACAGCATGAATTGTGGATGTGCCAATACCTCCCTCCCAGGTAAAAAACCCTCTACACGCAAGCCAAAATGCTCACCCCTCGCTTGCCACCCTGCACCTCCACATGCTGGACAGCAGAGGAAACAGAGCCTCGAAAAAGATTTGGCAGCTTGTAACCTTTATTTTTAGTTTTTTAAAATTATTTAAAAAGCATAATTAGAAACT